TCGCACTTGTCGCAAGCATGCGATGACAGATTTTATGTCCAATGTCGTAGATAACTGTATGAGTGCACAGCGGAAATATGTAAAACTAATTTGATTGATAATGAGATAACAATAAAAATAGAAATAGTGATAGAAATAGAAATAGAAATAGAAATAGTTAATCAAATTAGTTTTACATATTTCCGCTGTTACATCATACAGCTATCTACGAAGCATCACCCCAATTTTCTGTTAATTCCCACTGCATGCACCTGAAGAAGGCTGGTTTGGCCAGCCGAAATATAGTGCTCCGTCTTAAAATTTACTTATCTACGTTGTATCGGTCTTGCCTCTATATTTATATTTCTTATTCTAAAAAGCTGAAAAGATAAAATGATCAATTAGTTCTGTTCTACTCTACAAAATAAACTTTAATATGTATATTTATATATTTTTTTTTACACAGACTACCTTTTCATCCTCCGACTCTGAAAGCAGAAGCTCTGCCTCCCGCTTCCGGTCACGTGCCAATGTTTCTTTATTTTTCTCGTTTTTCCTTTTCTTTTCCTTTCTTGTCTGTTTCAAAACCAGCACGTACTCGATTAGGGTCATAAACACAAACATTAATGAACCCAACAAAAAGTAATCCACGGACTTAAGATATGATACACGCGGTACGTTATCATTCATTGAGCCTCTCATGAAACTGATGGTCAGAACCGTGGCTATCCCCAATCCTACACGGTCAGACCCATCCGTCTCGTCAATCCAGAAGCTGACCCATGATAAAATCACAACGCAGATACAAGGTATGTACATTTGGAAGATATAGTACATCGTTCGACGCCTGAATTTTATAGTCGTCGTGAGACCTGAAAATCCCTCTGATAATAGGGAGAAAAAAAAGTTTTCGTCAGATTCTAACCTATCCAGGGATTTATAAATTAAATGGTCACCAAATGGACTCATTCAAATAGTCCATTTTATAGTTGTGTGCTAGGTTGTCAAGTTTTTGAACAGGAGTGAGGCTAAGGGTGACCTTGTTATGATACAAACGTTGCTGCTTGTCAAATGTAAATCACTTTGTTATCATGCTAACTAGATACTGGTCTCTATCTGATCAAGGTCACCTTCAGCCTAACTCCAAATCAAAGGCTTGGCAACTAAGCACACAACTCTAAAGTGGGCTATTCTCCTTGTACGAACTCACCAGAATGGTAGATCTGATGTTTTCCACGTCTTTTTGCCGACAAAATATCAAACTGGGCCATTTCCTTGTCGTAAATGTAAATGTCGGTTCCCACTTTTTGCTTCCATGTTAAATTCAAGTCCTTGCTTTCAAATGAAACTAGGAGGCAATCAAAAGACGAAGACACCACAGCTTTTAAAATGGAAGGTCTTCATCAGCGCTAGCATTTCATGATTTAACATGCATTTGTGGATTTGATTCATGATATTATTTAGCACTTACAGCTCTCAAAACATAGGTGACAGATCTGTTCATCTAAAGGATAATCCCTGAGGTCCACTTTACAAGAGCTTCGAGCAGTGTATCTGTTAGTGAAAAAATAGGCCTATATCAGTGTATTTTCCCCTCACTGAAAAGCAGCTGAGGTACGTATAAATCCTTTGGGGGAGGGGGGGGAGGGATGATCTTTGCTTTAAGCTAACATGAAACATTTTCCTTTAAGTTATTACGAATTTTCCCGTTTTTTTTTTTAACAAAAAATTGAGATGAGTGATCGGCTATTGCATTTCTGTCATTGGGAAGTTAGGGGAACTTCAACCACGTAACGTAAACGTGGTAACTTCATGAGCAAAGATGTCACGATACCGCTTTACAGGCTTAACTGCTAAAAGCTACGACCAGGCTTGTCTATGTCTAACTGTCTGTCTGCCTGTCGGTCCGTCTGCCTGTCGGTCCGTCTGCCTGCCTGCCCTTCGTCTATCTTTCTAACTATCTGTGTGTCTGTTTATGTCTCTGTTTGTCTTCCTTAAGCAAGTTATGTCAGTTATTTTTGTTTTTTTTTTCCTACCTTTATTTCTTCATGCCTTTTTTTATCCCTGTCTTTATCATACGTATCTTCTTTCTTTATGCGTGTAATATTTCACTTTTTCCCTACTCACCTCAACACCAACATGATAGTTCCATTTCCCAGATGAACCCAGGCTTTCTTGTTGATTGCTATCAATTGATGGATTTTTGTGTCGATTGAATTTACAATAAAGGTGTCTGGGACCCAGAGTTTGTCTGTTGCCTCTCCACTCAGGATAATTGTTTTGTTGAGACCAAATCCTAAACGAGGATCACGCCAGAACTGTGCCATGTATAAATCAACGGAAAATTCCTAATGAAGACCAAAGAACTATCATTTTGGTGTAGATAGCGAATCAAAGTGCTGTGTCCAAAACGAGTGTGGCTTGATTGTGAAGTTATTTCCATGCATACCCGAATGACTTTGGACACTTAACTGAAATAACTCTACAGGCGTGGAAACATGTAGCCCAAGACCAGACCTTGAGTTGATCAAGGAGCTTTGGTGAATAATTCTAACTAGTATGTAAAGAGGCAGTCAGATTTCGAACCAAGTGGTTCTGCCTTCAGAAATCACCAATCCAAAGAACTACACAAACAAACCAACAAAAAAAAAGCAATTTCCAATCAAGCGTCAAAAGTTGTCTAGTATTGCAATACTTTTATTCTCCTCGCGCTGTGAAATGGTTCAGAAACCTAGCCAGGTGAAACCTCCTTTACAAATGCAAATCGCGACTTGTTAACTATACAAATCGTGACTTGTTAACTGCGCCTCGTCACTTCACCAAGTATACTTCATGATCATTACGATTCTTACCATATTGGTTTCACTAAGTTCTCCAAATGAAAGAATAAGTAGGTCCATTTGGACGTCAAGTGTTTTAACTAGAATAAGAAGAAATAGACAGAATGTTGGATCGCTATACCGTGACTAAAACACAAGGGTTTTTCTCTCTTGCTGTCTTATAAAAAATATTAATCAACTATATATGGATGCAGTCGGTAAAAGTATCTTAGGGAAACCATGCGAAAACACAACTATTATCAGTGTAACAACTCATGTAAAATATGATAGATATCTCCAATTGCCCCCATCTGAGAAAACAACTGAAACTAGCCTTCTAATGTACTTTGAGTGGTTTTCAATCTGATTCAGTGGAACGAAACACATCAGTTCTCTTCTTATTCAATAATTCATTCATTCCTATAACTCCTTATTGATTAATTTTGTTTGTATCCTTTTCAAATCAGTTACCGGGTGGGACTCGTGAGCCAACCGTAAAGTGGGTGGGTGACTGGCGTCACGACCGTGACACCACCCTGCATAACTAATCGATAATCTGCGCTGACTTCTTCTTGAAAATTATGAGTGATATAGCCATGGCTATTTCAAAATTTTGAAGTCTCAGCACTTAAGCTTAAAAAAAGATAAGATCCTACCGTCATAAAAGGGTCTGATACGCTTGTCGTAAGTCTTGAAAACTGCTTCTAAGAGACTCGACATATTCTTTCCCGCCACGGTTTCGTTGATGTACTTATTGTTAAGCACTGGCATATCGTCTCCCCTGCCGAGGTCCAAAAAAAACATTGTGGCTTTGAAGTATTGAAAACCTTTACCTACGGAGGCCTTCCCCAGTCGCAGAGTGAGTGTGGAAATATCAGAGAAGAAAATCAGACGAATCATAAATACTTAAAGTTAAAAAAAAACATACATTACTTCCACAGCATCTGCTACAGACACGTTGCCAAGAATTATACGAGTGAGGTTTGAATGTGGGTGAGTGCTTCGCACAGTTTTTCTGTAAAGGAAAAGCGAAAAAAGTACTTTTTCTATCTTCTCTTTGATGTGTATGAATTTTTTCGTCGTTGTTGTTGTTCCACTGCTACTATTATCATTCTGTTCCTTCTGGATTTTTGAAATTAAAAGTTCTTTTGAAGATGAACCGAGGCCCTATATCTTGCTATGTTGAGTGCGCATGAACCGTTAATTATCAAAACCTTTTCAACTTTTGAGTTAAGGTTAATTTTGAGTTATTACAGGGCCCCAGTAGTGACGATGGCATTTACAAAAACGACTTACGTTAACAGCAAAAACGACAGCTTTTTAAAACAGAAAGGTGATTGCAGTGGGTTTACCCGTCGCGGACCAATATTGGTGATCGCGCTTTATAATTGCAAGTGTGATAAAATGCGTAATCAACCAAAGCAATACGGAGTGATCTTAAGGCGCTACAAGCCACCTGAGTAATACTCTTCATCTGGTTTTGCCTCAGAGGCTGTCCCGAAGGCTTCGCTATGTGTTCTAGAATTCTATAAATTTTGCTTTGACCCATTTTTGACCTGAGGTTGTGATTAACTAATTAACTGTAAATTATGTTTAATTACTCTTACTTATTCCTAAAAGGGATATCAGAATTATCTGCTGGATTTGTATCATTCTTTTCCTTGTTTCCTCCTAAAGACCTGAAAGCAAAAAAGGGTATGTTTATTTCTAAATCATTCTACATATGGACAAAAGTGATGATTCGTACCTTGGATTCCGTTTTGGGCAACTTTAGTTGGGCAACTTTAGTTGGGCAACTTTAGTTGGGCAACTTTAGTTGGGCAACTTTAATTTAGTCATTATCATGGCATGCATCTCTTAATCTTTAACAGTGTGATACAACTCATCTATATCTTACTTAACAATGAGTTGCGACTTTGCTGTAAATGATTATGACCAAAAACAGAACAAACACCAAAACTAACAGGTGCGAGACCAGAGCATATACGTTTATATCAGTTTTAAATTTTATTTCACAATTTACTGCTCATCACATTGATTCACTTTAAAATGCCAAAGATGCCGCATCTCAATACAAAGGCTTCTACTAAATTTAAAGAGAATTGTTTTGATATGCTCAGTGGCAAAATAATAGAGGTAAATATATGTATGTCACTGTAACAACTCAGCCCATACATGACACCTTTCACTTTTTAACACAATTTTACCTGCTCTCGGATTTGGAATTCCACAAGCAGATTTGACAAAGTATTGTAAAAGCTATGCTCTGATTGCACCGCATCTTCAAAGGTTGTGGCTCAATACTTTCATTAAATTTGCGACTGGATCTGGGTTGAACACAAAGAAAAACAACATGTAAGGTTATAATGATACTAATTTGCTAATTACCAGTTCATAATCGCACGAGCGGAAAATCCCTTAATGCCCTAAAACTCAGGCTAGCTCATGTTTACGCCGGATGATTTCAGAGTGATAGCTGATAAGCGAACGACAAATGATAAGGAACTTTACATTTGACCAACAAACAAAGTAAATGCACAAACGCGAGAGAGACTGATCAATGCAATGACACCAAAAGTTTTAGCTCTCAAAACAGATACGTATTATAGATACTCTGAAAAACAGATGTTCAGATCTTTGCAAAAAAAAGTGTGTAAAATCTTCAGATTTGCACGCGAAGGTTTTTTTGTGTAGGCAGGTGGGCTGAAATCAAACACAGCAAAAAGTACAGTTTGAAAACACAATTCCGGGTTCTTGTGGCTTGAACCCGAGCCACTGACGCAGATGGTACAGGCTTAACGCCACTTTAAATTGAGCCACGAAGCTGCTAATGCAGTTTGCAAGGCGTCTCTTGGTACAGGCAGATTCTACGTCCCCCGTGAAAGGATTTTATCAGAAATGAAATTTTAAAGATAGTCTAACACATATCAAGGTTAACTCTACCTGCCACATCAAGACGCAGAATCTAATTTAAACAAGCCTTTTCACACAGCGTTTCCATTAAAAGGCAAAACGAGTGCCGGATACGCTTAATTTTGTCGGCCTTTACAAAGGTTGCAATGCCCTCGGGCTTAGCTATAGAACTAGTGTTTCCTTTCATTCTTATCGTTTCTACTGTTACTACACTCCCGAAAACTTTATCGAGTTTTGTTGAAATATCCCAGTATCTTCTCAATACGGTCCAATTTTCTCATGACAAGCGGCAAAACAGAAATGTGCTAACAATTTCTAAGGGATTTTTTGCAATGATTGTAATTATGCTTTTTATTTACAACTTAGAAAACTTAGCGAATTACGAGAGAAATTTAAGAGAGTGGTCAAGAGAAATTCAATTGGTATCAAAGGTGGCTTGAATTGATCATTTCAGAAGATAAAGAGAACCAGTAATCTCTCGTGCCTTTCTCTACCCAGTGCACTTGCATTCGGACCTTAATGAGAGCGTTATGAACTAGAAATGCTCCAACGTAAAAAAACGTAAAAAGATCTTTAAAAAACTCCCGTTTGTGTTGCTTCCAGTCAAAACACACTAATTTGTCATCAGCAATCGACAATGAAACACATACTTTTGTAAACAGCCGAATGTCTACTGACATTACCCAAAGACTGACAACAAACACCGGTGATCATTCTCTCTCGCTCTAAACTTTCTTCTTGTTTCTCTGTCACATAGAAAAGAGACTGGAAAGAGAGCGATATGATCGTTATTCGCGTTACCTAAAATGTTCCTTTGTTGGACATGGTATGCCAAAATTATTTAACAAATATTTCATTGACAGGCGATTGTCTCAGAAGCGTCTGAAAAATACCTCGCGTCCTCCCCTGACTAAAAGAGTAGGAAACAGTTACTTTCCAGGTATTAAGCTAACACTCCTCTTTCAGAGGACGTTGTCGAGTGTCCACTTGAACTTTACACATCAGTAAATCAGCGAACACGATCTTTAATATTTGATATTGCGGCGAGAATTAGCTAGAACAACTTTGTTCACTGCTGGGAATACTTATTCAAAACCTGAGGAATGTCTGACAGTTAAGCTACTTACCAACTTCTTATAAGTTGCTGTTACACCGTTCCCTCAGCGAGATATATACGACCAAACATAGTATCCAAGCGATCAAGCTAATGTATCAACTCACGTACTACATGACTTCGCATTTATCATAATCCGTCAAAATTTGGTCCAAGCGCCAGAACGACACCTCGCTGTCTTATCGCTCGCGCACCTTCAATGTGATCTCGCTCCGAAAGCAACGATTTGACAATGACCAGTGCCTTATCGCGTAGGTAATCATCCACAAACAGTGATTCTCGCTTTGACGAGATGTTTATGTTTAGCCTATGAGTGTGGCTATATTCGAACTCAACATTTTTGGTTTTTTATTCAGTGTTCTTTTCAATGTTTCATTGCAGCTATAGGCACATTTTACGACAAAAAAAGTCAATAGGATCAGGCCAACATGACAACAGGCAAACCACTTTTGGCAAGAAAAACATCTCATTTAGATAACTCACACAATCATATACTAATTACATTTTTGTTAAGAGAATGTCTTGTCACTGATTATACATACGCTGCCTGAGCGAGAAGAATCGAAATCACACTTCATATTTTATATTTCAGAATTGGGCCTTAAAACATCTTCCTCCAGCATGAAATACAGAAGCTGTTTTTCTCCGTATATACACCAAAGCGGCAAACAGTTGCGTTTTGGGCCTTTGCTATCAGTATTCCTCTTTAAGATACTTCTTGTAAAACTATATACACGAGATGCCGAGATAAGCTGCTATCATTATCATTCATTGGGTGTTTTTGTCTACGACTTGATTGCAGGTGGGCAGCGACGTAGCTGAAAAGTCTTCTTTACCTTGCTATCTTAGAAAATATAGGGTTTCAAAATGAGCGGTGAAACATCAGTACATTTGAACTTGCGCTTCCATCGAGCTTCTTATCGGAAGCATTAAAAAAGTTTAACAGTCCGAGCTTTAGCAATTCCCTTACACAAACACAGCCCGATTTACTCCCGAAACGAACCCTCGTTTCTTTTGCCAGCAGCAATTTCAAAACGAGATGCGCGGAAGAACGAGCCCGATTAAATCCCGAAAGCAAACCACAATGCAATAAATAAACATAAAAGAAGAGGAGTGACGTAAGGAGATTTACTAAAAGTAGAAAATGCTCGCTTTTTTACTTATACATTGGATTTTATACTTACGTTAGTAAAAAAAAAGAAAACTTTAAGAGGAATACATAATACATCGGTTCAAAATTGAACGACTGAAGTAAATTGACTGGAACTATCTTGGTCATTAACTGTAAGACTGAAAGCGATATTACTGCTTGACTTGGGTGTCAGTATATAAATGAAGTATTCAAATCAATACGAGGAAGCATAATTCTATCCTGCAAGCCGATTTCATACATTGATTTGAACAAAAAAAATCCTGCTTGTATCATTGAAAAAAATAGAGCCTTGGAAGATCCCAAAGAAATGTCTTTCGGAACTCGGCTTTCGACATTATTATCAAATTAAGGGAATTCTGACCATTTCCGACGGTAATTGGCAGGAGAAATTAAGTCAGGCAATGAAATGTCACCCATAATTTTTGTGGCAACGAAACTACTTTGTAGCACCAATCTAGTGCACAAAATGTACCATAAACCAGATTTCCATTTGTTGTTAAACTTCCGTTTCAAAGTCTTTCTTTTGTGGATCAGTTGATAAACGACGCAAATCCAAAAGCGATGATTTGAAGGCTGCTTAGAAATGTTAAATTTCGGCTTGTCGCGGAATCCATTACTTTAAATCTACTATGCTCTTTGAATCCTGACGCATACTTGATGCTTAAGCAACCCCGATATTATAATATACATTGAGTTCACTCTGTCGAAGACGACAGGTTCGTTAGCAAATTGATGTCAATCAAAGCCCCATCTTGTGGGTCGTTGTGGCTTCAACACCAATACCATAAATCTCTCTCCAAAATCTTTTTTAAGCTCAGACGTGGAAAGAAAACTTCTATTACAAGCTGATTTTAAGACGGCTTCTTAGCGATTTTAATAATTTAGTTTAAAGAGAAGACATTTGCAGTCTCCATTTCTTTCTAGGAGTAACCATGTTAAAAGCTTAATCCAGGTGATTCAGTAACACCATATATGCAAATGTAAACGTACAAATTATGATTTTTTTTTTACAATAAAAACACACCATTCTATGTTATTGCTTTTATCTGCATCCGAATTCAAACTATTTTCTCTCATTAATAACTTCATGGGGACAAGTAAAACGCTTCATTGTCGACCATTTATGCGATCTTAAAAACGTGCTGTGATTTACACAGTTCTCTCTGTCAAGTTTGTTCAAATCGACGACGGCCGCGTTTATCACAAGCCATGAAAACCCGATAATATGCTTTTGAACGAAACGAATAGCAAGCCTTAACTTCAAAAGAATAAATTAACATAAAATGTGATAATCTTACCAATAGGAGCTGCAAAGCACCTCTTGAAAATAAACTTTGCACCAATTCTTCCCTCGGTTCGCGTGCTTAACCTTTTCGATGGAGCAGAAATAGAAACTATAGTTTTTGCCCTGGGCAAATTGTTCCGAAATTAAGTTATAAATTGTGTTTATACGTGATTAATTAGATTAGCCTTAATTACAGGGAGAGTGATTTGATTAAATCGTCTGTAAAAAGAGAGATTAGCAAAAAAATTAGGATAAATCTCAATCTGATCTGCTCTGGTAGGGTAGACACCATAGGTTTATTACGAAGAAAATAATTAACTGTTAACTTGAAAAGCAGGGCTTGAGAGATAAAACGAAGAGATAACAGCATTCGTTGATTAATTGTACTGCCTCCTCAAAAATAATTGATCCGTGAAATATCGTTTCCGAAGTTTCAACAATTGTTTGTTAGAAGAATGTAAGATTAATGGACTTGACACCTTTGGTGATGTTTGGATAGCAATCCACCGAGGATTTCTATATCACGAGAATTTATCTTAACGGCTTAGGAATTTCAGTTGCAGTTTCACACTTAAGTTAAGCATCCAGAAATGAATACAAGGTTTAAACTTTTCCCGTTCTAATTTAGCTCAGGGCAATAATAATAATAAATGCGTCATATTCAAGGTGCGATCTTGCTTTTGAAACGCGATGCACTTGCTTTGTTTTCGAGAATGGCCATAATAGTTTCAAAGACACCGCTCAGAACACTTATGATCACAATTTTTACGAGAGATATTTGCTAGAAAGATAAATAAAGACAATCGTCAAAGACGAACAGATATAATCAATAGTCTGGAGTAATGAAAATGGGTGTTCAGGGGCTGTATATTTTCAGTAACGATAACAGTTCCTCTTCGGTCAAATCCAACAACCTCCTCGAACTCTAAAAGCGATGTTATTTGTCGTCACGTCCAACTGACTAATTTGCATCCATGGAAATTTCAATAAGATATATCTCCTCACCATGATAAAAGGTTTCTAGTATCAGCTCAGTTCTTGAAATATTCATCATTGTTTTGAAAAAACAATTAATTTCAAACTTGCCGCGATCACTTTGAGATATTTCGAGACTTCTTCGCCAAAACAAGAAATCGAAAACTGTTCGCATTTTAGACTGACCTCACACTTTGGGGAGTTGTTAAGATTTTTGAGCTTGCTCAAACTGTTATCTTTTACAAATCAAAGCGCAGAGATTTATATTCCATCAACAATTTTAAAACTGTATTTGCTGAAAGACTTAAATTCCTTCAAAGCCCGCTATTTTCTTGTTCATCAGGACGTTGACAGATAGCGAGGACATATGAGACGCGATAAAGTGGTTATGGTGTGTTCAGTAGGCTTTGGTTAATCGTTAGAATAATATAACTTCAAAGTTACACCTTGCTGTCTAAAAATCCTTCACGGACTTGCAAAACATTAAGTTAATAAATCATTAGAGTTTCATCAACTTGACTGAAGAGCGTGCCTCCAGTGTTTGTCACCGTATCGTATAATGTTACTGGTACAAGCTCTATTCGTGCATCTGTTGACGAACGTAATATTCCCTTTCAGAGACTCTTTCGAGTTACGAGCACACAGGGGGTAAATACCATGAAAGACAACATTCAGATGAAAATATGGAGCACTATAGGTAGTAAAATAATATATTTTTGTATGTCGGCATAACCGAGGGTCAATATTATGACGCCTGCCGAAACAAAAGAGTTCTAAAATTTTTTCTTCTTAGAAAGTTTAAAGTTTAATTTTCAAAAAAGAACCAAATCTGAGTTTTCGAGGCAATTTTTTTCCTTAAAAGCGTATGGTTTAAAACGTTTTAACTGCATAAAGTCTCTAAGAAGAAATGAATGGGATTTTTTTAAACGTAAATATGATTTGTTCTCATTATCGTCGGCATAGGAGGCCGATAGCCTGAGTTTGTGCGACGATCCTATAGAGTGAACTAGATTCTCTCTTTTTCGCCTCAATGTCGAATAACCCTAACAAATATAGAGCTAACCACGCTCTGGCCCCATTCATTATTGCCACTACTTTGAATCAAACTGTACTGGATTGGGTGATACATGTGTTGTGCAATCATCACTTAGAGATCGCTGATGAAAAACACTTTTAATTCTAACGGCGGAGTTAGGGAAGTAAACAATTTACTACATCGCAGTGCTTTTAAACACGCCGGACGGCTGAATGGTTAACACGGCTGGCCGCGATGGAGGAATCACACGGAATAGACAAATAAACAAATATAAAAAATACCTATAAACATTAAATACCGTTTGTTAGGAAATATGTTGAGCACAATGTTAGTTATGACAAGATAACGAAGTACTAGAAATTCTTGAGGTGGTATGATGGATAGCTCAGTGAGAGCTCCTTAACATTAATTAACTGTTTCAAAACAAACCAAGATACTAATGCAAGAGGAAAGAATACTAACTTTTTCATTAACGATAAAGCAAAACGATCATTTGTTGCCTTCTGCACAGAACTGTGCAAAACAGAGCTAAGATTGATCTTTTCTTTCTCTCCTGCACAGTTTGCGAGTAAAAAAAAAAAAAAAAGGAAAGAGAAAAAGAAGGAGACTTTTAATGAAGCTTTTCTGTCAAAAAAATGAACTGACGTACAATATTGTTCGGCTTTCTCTGAACACGACACCCCCCACTGAGCCTAGAAATAAAAAGGTAAACAAAAAAAATTTGTTAAGATGTGTCCCTTCTTTGTTTATTACTGATAGTTAACCGAGATTGAGCAACAATTTTTCCCTTCTTCGAGTATGCGTTCAGTGGTTTCAATCATAATGAATTTTGCTGCATCGGTACCTTAGTGATATTGTTAACTTTTTTTCTCTTTTACTTCCTTATAGGAACGTTTATGTCTTTATTCACTAAGGTTGTGGGTTCTAGACGCCGCTCTTGTTTAACACTAAAAACAAAAGCTAGTTTAAATATATGCCTCCCACGTTAGCAATATTTGTTTGAAATGGCTTGCTTTGATTCAAGGTAATCATTTGCCACTACAATTCTCCAACACTTCAGGTTGACATTACTAAATAAAACTGTGGTTAAACATAGTCTTTTAACTGCGTGAACATTTCGATGATAAGCCACTGAACTCCAAGTTTGTTTTGAGAGAATTAGAGTTAAACAGCAGAACTGCATTGTATGCATTGTATGCATTGTATGATTTCAATATTTATAACTGCTCCGGTGGTTGACAGGATGATTACAACAATTGCCAAATTTCTATCGAAACGCACTATAAGGAAATTGTTAGAGAAATCGCCAATGATTCCACTCACCCTTTTAAATGCATGTTTCTCTTAAAAAGAAAGCGATTTCATTCGCATTTAAAAGGTAAAACAGCGTTATGTTCAAAACAAACCGAAATTAATTCAACTCCGGCTAAATATACACAGAACTGAACGAATCACTGAACGACGTGTCTAATTCACTGATCGGTTGTTCGTCGCAATTATTTTTGCAGAATTACAACCTCGATAGTTGGTAGGTGCACCAGAAAAAGTGATTAATTGTATTAACTCGAACGGTTTTCCTATAATTGTCTTGTCTCGCATGATATCATTGGTGTAGACGTAAGCACAATAGACACAGTTAAGTTAAGAGATAACTTTGAAGTGTGAAGTCAACATTGGTGCCTCCAAGATTCTGGCATGGCGATTTCTAAGTCTACGCCGCCATACTTTTTTCAGTATCTGGCACTCACTCATCATGTTAATTTTCAAATTTAAAACCTCTGTTTTTTAAACCCAAGTTTGCTCATTGCTCTAAAATATTTCAAATGTACTTCAATAACCCAGAGCTCCTTACCCGTTCTACGATACTTTGTGGCGTCTATGTTGCGCCTGTCATGCAAAGTCACAAGAAGGTCAGAGAAAATTGCTGTGCGGTTACCAATTGAACAATGAGTCTTTGGTTCTGAAGAAAGAGTGTGTCTTTCACTGATCAAGATTTCAAGATTGCTCACTTATCAAACGTTCGCCAGATGACTGTATACTATGTCTTCTTTCTTTTGAGCTGACCGCGTACTTTGGAGGCCCACTGTGCCTAAATTTGCATTCATAAATAATACAGTATTAACGTTAGTTTGTATGTCTGGTCACAAATGTTAGCGATCTAGAAGAACAGCGAAGCGGACAGATCACTCACCAAGCTAATAGCGTTGTACCTTTTCACCCAAAAGTCTTTTTAATCGATCTGCTGTATGCTGAGTTTGTGTAAAAGTGTAGCAGATTACAACAGAAAAATAAGCATCCCTATAAGGTCGATCTTCGCTGCTTCAATGCTAGCTAACTTGAAGAAGTTTACACTGATAATAGGATATTGTTTTCGTTACCTTCAAGTTCGCTGAAAACTTAATCCCTGACTAGCAGAGGAACAGCAAAAGGGGGTTGAACTTCTCTGAATGACTCGAACAGGTAAAAAGTGATACAGAATGCAACACAAAGGAGGTTCTACACTCCAGGGAGGGAAAACAAGTTGACAAAGAACAAAGAATTCAAGACATGTTTGATGGTTCAACTCTATCAGCAACATGCTGCGCTCGAACTCAAAATTTAATGGTGATTTTGCAAAAAACAATATTTCATAGGAACACCCGGATACTCCTCCTGAATAACAAGCTACTTTTCGATTATAAAAGTCAGTTGGAACCGTTTTCGTGACATTATGTTTTTTAAGCAGGGCTATTAAAAACAGATTGATCAAACTTTTTAATTTGATTTCATTTTTGTTCAATGAAAGAAAAGAAGAATTTCATTGGCGTGTTTATGTTATACGTTAACTAAATCCTTTGAGGCTGATCCTGCTGCCATTTTGGGGGATTTCACGGCCACACGATTTACATGATTCATGTGGTCTCAATGGTGAAAACATTGTGAAAATATGGATAGGGAGATATTAAAAATTAGTAGGACAACTGCAACGAGCATTGTAATGTTTGCACGAAGTCTATACTAATTAAACAAAGCATTGTTACTCTGTGCCGATAAACAAGACATTTTAAATATAGGAATGACGAAACTCCCATTTCTGTTATAGTGATGGTCTGTTTGTTCCTTATGTGTGATTAATTTTGACGAAGTATCATGGCAAAAGATTTGCTGTCAACATAGCAGTAACTTAGTATAGATAAGGAAACAAAACAGGTATGACAAACAGCTTGACAATGATTTCTGAAAAACTGTTTCTAAAACTGCCTTTAGTGCTCATCTTACCAGCTTAAGTACATGGTATTACATAGAGTAAATTAATTTCGTGATACTAAGGGGAAAATGTATCAACTCTAACTTCAGAGGATAACAGGTATTACTACAACCATTAACCCGCAATTGCATGCACGTGTACAGAACGTGACCAGGAGTAAGCTTAATTGGAACCATTGGTGGAGTTACTCATACCTTGTCAGGTTAAGAGCTAGGTAAAATTCAAAAACCTCCGAATAAAAATTCGAAACTTCTTTGAATGCTCGTCAACAGTAAGTACTGCTCACAAACCAAATGTTAGTGATTGAGTTTGTTTTGAGATCTCGTAACGATTTTACTTTCATTTACGTAAGCGAACATTTGTTATCTGACGGAAAATTGTCTTCTTTTCCTTGATGAATTATACATACAACTTATGGGATTCATAGTGGCATCAGTGACTGCCAATAGTGCTAAAAGGATTAAAAGACATATACGACTATCGATATCTTTTAAAATGGTGTTCTATAGCTACAATCAACTTATCAAACTACTTTTCTGAAAATGTCTGTAGGTAAAATTTTAGTGCATTGCATGATGAGCATGTGAGGTGAATCAGCACATGAACGAATGAATGAACAAAAGATCCAACAAGTGGACGAATGATATCATGAAAAAATAAATCAATTAATTAATCAACTTCTTAAAATGAATCAAAACAATTTGAAAACTTCAGGTGTGGGCAGAATATATTTTCCTCAAATATTTTTGAATGCTAAGGGCTGCCGGCTAGAAAAAGAAAGAAACCATCAAGATGAAAGTAGGTGGGACTGACTTGCATGTGGTTGAAATCGAAGTAAAAAATAACCCCTAAGAAACTGCATTAGATGACCATTTAGTTTTTTAGTATGCCTTGGATATTCCCCGCTACCTCAAAACCTTCAGCAATATATTGATACGGCGAGATCATGATTCATTGCAAATTGTGGTGCTCTTGATCATGAAAACGAAGTGGTTCTGTGCTCCATGTAATTACATCCCACAAAAGAAATACCTTAACAGCTAGAGTACAAATAATTGATTGTTACTTCACCGTGCACCGTACTACCTTCTAAGCTGGATTGGAAAGTTTCATAAAAATCATAAAGTAAATTACCTGTTATTTGGATGAAGTGTGCATTCTTTACTGACTCTCAAAGTCAAGGAGTTAATTCAATCAGCATTTACAATAAACAATCACATACCTTTTGTTAACTCCTTTTAGACCGTCACCAATAAGTAAAGGCAATTGTCAGTGTTAATATTTCCCACATTAGAATAACAAAGATTAAGAATTCCTTTTAGGATCAACTCAATCACGTTGAATTAATCTTACCGATTCTTTAAGTTTATCTTATTGCGCATTTCAATTTATACTTTGTTTTAATTCGCGGTAGAGGAAGCAGAAAACACAACACAGAAGCATAAAAAACTAAGATTCAACCGCAAATTTCCAGTAGAAATAATCTGCATAACATAACACATGAAGGTTTAAAGTTAATGGAATACAGCTGCGAATCCTCGATTCAATCGAGACTATAACTAAAAGGAAAGAGAATCGAATATGAATGAAAACCGCAATGTTATCATTCGAACGCTAGCAAATCCGTTAAAATCAGTAACATCTAAGAGAGGTACATGTATGAAACATTTTCAAATGCAAAATAAGGAAGTCAAAAAGTAACATCAAAGATAAGCTGGAAGAGAGCGAACCAATTATGATTTATCTTCTCGCGTTATCATCGACAGGAAATTTAACTAACCTGTTTAGCTATTTCCAAAAATGGGATTATTTGACGAGCACTAAGACAATTTAACCGAGAGTACTAATTAAAATTATATATCTGAGTACCTTTGGATTTCCGATTTCCCTCAGTTTACAGTCGAGCGACTTCGAATTCAGTGAACAAACCTCGAAAAATATCGTCAAAATAGAAATTTGTTGTTGTTGTCAACGGCAAAAGAATAATGAGGTCGTTAAAAAAATTTTACACTTTTGCTTGGTATCGTGGTCACAGAAGCAGTTCTATAAAAATTAATGTACATAATTTAGAAGAAAAACGAAAAACGTTGTGGGAGATTCATTATCAAAAGCGTTGCTAAGGTACACCCTGCCAGCAATGTATATGACCTCGTACATTAAAACATAATTTGGTTTGTATTTTGTTTTGGTTTTGATGAGATTTTATGAAAATGAAAGCACTGCAACCTTTTCTCGTAAAACTCTCACTCAATCCAAAAACAAGAATAGGCAAACAAAGAAGATGAAAGAAACCTCCATGGGAAGGCGGATTTGTAATCAACATGTCGATCGTTCACTGTATTTGATCAAGTACAATGAGTTAAATAGCTCTATTTCCCCTCTTTATTTAGAATTACATGTGCTCTCAATGGCTCTAGAATCGCCAACTTGCCCTGGACTTTGAAGATGACCGGCTCTCGAACAGAATAATCCCATTTTAAATCAAAACGTAGCCCTCTAACTGACAAGCTTCTCTGCCGGTTCTCGAAACCTGTTTTGCAAGATAATTATTGGAATCTCAATAAGAAGTTACAAGTTAATCACTTCTGGAAGCAATAGGGTAAAGGGAATTGAATAGGGCGACCTTCTTCAAGTTAATCTTTATCCAGTGGACAGCGATCGACAAATGAAAGCTAATAACACATAACTTTTTAAGTGCAGATTTTCTGAAGTAAAGAAAATTTGGTAAAAACCACAATCAAAGAGACGCTTCTTTGCCACTTCAGCATATGTTGGGTAACATGTACTCTACAATGTATCTTTCTTACCAGAACACTCAATTATATTGAAGAAAAAAGTTTAATAGTCTATAAAAACCACTCCACAGTTGAATTGATTACAACAACTTTTACAACAAAGAAAGAATTTCTTTTGAGAACTATTTACTGAAATTTATACTTACGCGCTTTAGATATACCAAGTAGGATATGGCATATCTGACAGCGATTTTTCTTAGAATCTTTTTTACAAATGTATATGCAGACATTACCATAGAGATGATAATCCAAAAGGACTTGAAAAATCATGTTACATATTTTACCATGTCACTTATAAGCAAATCTTTGGAAATCTCCATGCACATTTCTGAAAATTAAAGCTAATTTTCAGTTGTGTACGTTTTTCGCAAATTTGAGTACCCTGGCAAACTAGACGCACAGAACGCCAACTTTTACCTAATCGATGAACAATTTATAATGTAAAGTACTATAGTACGCATCATTTGATCGGTCAATCTATATAGTTCCCAAGCCTATAAACTCCCGGGCTGACGAAATCGGCGAGCGCCAAATGCACGAGTTCGTGTTTGCGAATACACTTAATTTATGCGCTAAAGAGAAAAGTTTTAAAACTATCTGGAAAAATCGTTATCTTACCAAGGCGATTATTGGAATTACACACCTTCACCTCATCTTAGTTTATTCCGATCGATAAAACCTTCATAAAAGCTGCTACCGATAGTTTTTATCGAGCTAAAAAAATAAGATGCCGTTATGACCAAGAATGCACATTGTTATATTCAAGGCTAATTATTTATGACAGCGCATCTGATCATAACAACGTTGTCCTGTGAAAAAGAATTACAAATTAGGCCCGGTTTAAACGTCGCATTTTACATGCGCCGAATCTAATACTAATTTAAGTCGACCTGAATTTAAAAAGTTCGGCATTTGATTTAAACGTCGCATTTAATTGTGCCAAATTTAATTGCCGAGTGCGAGTGACAGCTTCATTCCCAGACTCCGCTCTAAGTCCCCCGCCAATATGAACAAAAATAAGGAGGATATTTTGTGTTTTCGGCGTTTATGCCTCTCAAGCACCATTCGCGCTAACAGGAAACGGCGACTTATAATGCAGATCGCAGTGCATCATCTGCTAGCAAGAAGAAGACGGCTTCTGTTTGTATGTTCCCTTGTTATGCTTTTCCTATCGCAAAGAAATGCCATAGCACGTGTCCCAAGACCCCCATCGTGCCGTCGATTGATACGAAATGAAGGCTGGTGGCACAAGGTATGGACTATATATTCTGATGTTCGATTCTTTCCCGCTAGTTTTCTTTGCGCATGTCATGTACCATAAAACTGTTGTGTTATGGGTAAAATATAATTAAACATAATTTATGAATTAGATTCGGCACATGTAAAATGCGGCGTTTAAATCAACTGTCGAACTTCAGTCGCGTATTCGACTAGATCAGTCGAATATTTTACTGAACTCGCATTTAATACAAATCTGCCGAGTTTAATTGATTTAAACGTCGCATTTTACATGCACTTAATTCGGCAATTAGATTCGGCGCATGTAAAATGCGACGTTTAAACCGGACCTTATTTTGTGAAACTTTTGTAAATAGCAATAAGCGATATTAAGACATGACGTTTTGGCGACAAGAAGTCACCTTCATCAATTATGTTCTCAATATTTGCACTTGATAATGGTGTTGGCTAAACATCATGTTTTTATACTACTAATTCTAACTGTGAAGAAAGACCATTTCTAAGCAAAATAAACCCTAAATCAAACCTTGTCTTTGTTGCAATTTGTTTTTGCAATTTTCGTCCTATTGTTATGATTGTGTGTGTGTGTGTTTGCAGAACACAAAACATATGGAACAGGAAGAAGATACTTTTATTTCGTTAGGGTAACTCCTACAGTTACAAAAAACTGATAGATATCCTTAGAGGCCCTAATAAAGAGAAATATAAAAAGTTAAAAATACATAAAACTAGTCCAACTAAGCTAATAGAAAGATATCCTAAAACAGCATTAAAATTATTACAACCATTAATAAAAACTATAAATTACGATTAAAGACTTCACATCCATAATTAGAGAAAGCTTTTTTCGCACATTCTAGTTTGATAGAGGGAAAACGGAGATGATCACTTTGCCGCGTTTTTCTCTGTACAATATCTCTTTTAAAAAAAAAGTAATCCATTAAAAATTGCGGGCAGCGCTTATTTAGACATTTCTTCACAAGGTTTAACGCACGAGTCTCCCGTCTAAGCCCCAGCGTATCATATCTAAGATGAGCTAGCGCTTCATCACTGCTGTTGGTTGGCATGATAATCCTTGCCGCACGTCTCTGTAGTTTTTCTATATTATCAGCATTTATACGTCCGCAACAATTCCAAACGGTATCACCATAATCAAGAACAGGAAGAATAAATGATCTATAAATTATACCAGTAGTATGCATAGAAATGCTCCCCCTAGTGCGGCCAAGAATTCCTAACTGACTTTGCTAATTGAATAATTCACGTGTGCGTTCCATGAAAGCGACTCATCCAAAATTACTCCTAGGTATTTATACTCAGCAACCCGTGTTAGCTCCTTGCCATCGATATTCATAGAGAGATTAGCATTTGCTAACCTAGAACCAGTACCAAATAAAACACATTCTGTTTTACCTTGGTGAATAAAAAGATTATTGTGTACAAGCCAGTCATTGACCTTGGCAAGTTCACTGGTAAAAGTACTACTGATTTCTTGGGCGTTACTAGCTGCGAAGTACATAACTGTATCGTCAGCGTACATCAGAATCTGGCATCGCTCTAAAACTATAGGAGGTCATTGACAAAAAGGACAAAGACTAAAGGGCCAAGGATTGACCCTTGAGGGACACCCGATGTAACGAGAAAAGAATCAGATATTTCTTTACCAAAACTCACGAGTTGTTTTCGATCTGTCAGGTGGTTTCGGAACCAGTCTAACTCAATGTTCTTAAGTCCGTATGACTCTAGTTTGCTAATAAGTGTTTCGTGATCAATAGAGTAAAATGCCTTGCGCAAGTAAAAAAATACCGCCCCATTGAGAATCCGAGGTCTATTCCACGCCGGATGTAATCTGAAAAGGCAATAGCGGCAAATTTAGTTGAGTGGTTCCTTCTGAAGCCACACTGGTAAGGGCTGAGCAGAGCTCAGGAAGACATTCTAAACACAAAACCTGAGCCATAACAGTAACTAAGATGTGTTTAATTCCTATTTAGCTTTTATCATCTTTCCATGACATAATGGCCATTAAGTTGTTACTCACTTCTTTGTCGCAAAACTGATCTTACTTTGTATCCGACTAGCTGGGGAACAATAGGCTTGTACGTGTGTTTATCTGGCGTATCTCGTAAAAAGGTCTCAGGTCCACATCGAAATAGCTGCAAAAATTCTACATCTTTACCGAGGCGTCCCCCAAAGAATGTAGAACTTCGTTTTATCTCCACTTAAAGGTTTCAAAGTTCTCTTTACATTTGGTCTACAGCTGCTCTTGGATCAAATCACTTTTTTGGCATTATTTTGTGGTTCTAATTTGCATTCGATGAGAAACTGTGTTTTTTTATTGCATGTAACCATAATCCAAAATGGGTTTAAAAAATTTGATTGGGTTCGAAGAGTTCTTTTCGACATACTTTAAACAGAATAATAAACTTTCCTTTAGCCGTCCATCTGCGGTGTTGATTTTTTTCTGCCGTTTGTCAAGTGTTTGCATTTGCACTTGATTATAATCTTAGATCGGAAACATGACTTCCTTTGATCTTAAACTCGAAAACATATATGCATTTTTACAGATGAGACATGCACTATCAGCATAAGTTGTAATAAGTACTGTAAGCATAAAACAAAATATCATCGCAAGTGGAGACATTGAAAGGTATCCTATAATAGCCTGCTTTTATAAATCAACATCTGAAGCCATTTTTAAGCGATTTGCACGTGTGCCAGAAACGTTACTGGAGGACCTTGCGAACAAGGATTGTTATAAAGGCACCGATAACTAATTAAGGTTCAAAGAAATCACACAGAATAAGTTCATTACATTAGTTTCAGATTTTCTTGAAGAGATGTCGCATCAGGTCAAAACCAGCTTTATACAACATAAGTCTTTCAATTGATAGAGAAACTGATTAACAAGGGCTACGATTAATGCAGGGACAGTGATCACATGCAGAGTCAGAATATAACCTTTATTCATTTAGATGTATCCATGATCTTTAAAACGTTTTAAGCTCAAAACAGGCTTCCTACTCACTTATGCCACTCGATCTACTGAATTGCGACAAATTTCACACTGTTCATGTCAGATAGTTACCTAAACAACTTGATGTTGACAGCAGATAATCAAACTATGAATCACTGAATCTTAACAGTTTTAATCATCATCATCTGTTTCATCCACAGTTGGCTTAGTGTCTTCATTTCCGTCCGTCATTGCTCCGTCACTTGTAGGTTCAGGCAATGTGTCCATACTCGACGGGTTGGTTCCTACTGCTCCAGTTGGCACTTTCGGGGAAGGCACTGAAAGTAACAAGAGTGTCATAACAATTTCACGAAAAATACGAATGGATGATGTAATTGGCCAAACGAACAAGGAAATTTCAAACGCCTATGCCGGATACGACGGCAATAAAGAAAGAGCTTACGGTTTTGTCGGCTTTTCTTCTGAGGGGCTGATGGTGCCTGACTATTTAAACACGAAGCTGGAAGAGAAACAAAAATGTCATGATTAGGGCAGTTTTCATACCAGTTTCGACAAATTGGTCAGAACCAAAATAACCACAACAGCCAATTCGAGCGAAGTTGGTGTCGTCATCATTAGCCAAGTAGAACTCCATGTAAAAATAGGCAGAGCGATAAAACCTTTTTTTTTGACGGGAAGAAACTGTGTGAAAAACATACCTGCTGCTGTCTTGCATACAAGAGTTTTGCTTCGAGGCTCCACGCATGTTTCGCAGTCGTTGACGCATTTGTTTAGACCAATGATAGGCCCAGTATTTTTGAAGGATTTTTGTTTAAGTGCATAGTTCTGTTTGCATTTAAGGCAGGATCCGCTGCCTAGACATTCTACGCAGGTGGAGTCATGCCAGTAACAATCTGTGCACAATAACAAATGTCAGAATGAAAATGACTTTTCAAAACTGAGAGAAGAAAACAAAGCAAAATAAAACAAAAACCGAGAATAAAACGGGAAAACGCTTTGTTCTAACTACTTATAATCACCCTAACAACAAAAGCTAAGGGATTGAATGGATAACAAACAAATCTGCAAACAGATGTACCTCGTTTGCTAGTTATCCTTTGCTGTTGTCACATCAGATGCGAAAGGATACGCATAGTTTTGCTGTTCCTGTTAAGTCATACAGCTCTTTCTCGCTTTCAGGCTTACGCCAGTAATAGAGATTAAGCTTTGAGACTGATTTAATGTGCCCCCGCTACTACGCTGACCTAAATGAGGGTGCATGGCAAAGGGTTTATTCGTGAAGCGTGCCTAAGCCCAAAACTATTACGTGACGCGTAAACTTTTACCGACAAGAGGGGAGGTTAGATTTTCTCTTTTAAATTCATGATGCGTGAAATATAATATTGGGATCAGGATCCCCCTCCCTTTACTGACGTCTTTAATGCGTCAGTTACCAACAACATTGCCATAACAACGGAGTACGATACCCATCACCTCTACAAAGTTATGAATCTATCATATCAAACAATAAATTCGAACAGCATTTCTTGTCACAGCAGCGGTCGATTTGTTACTGAAATTAATTGGTGACATCAATAAATTCACTCATTTACTTACCTGTTTTTCTATCACAAATATAAGCCCTGACGACTGGATCCCATACTGATACTTGTCCCGATCCGGGTGGACACTGGCTTTCGCATCTACGTCGAATGTAAGTTTTAACCAGTGTATAGCCTTCTTTACATCTGCGACATTTGGGAAAATATGACTTGGGATCCGAACATTCTAAGCAGTTCTCGTTGCAGTCTGAATTTCAAGAAAATTTAAATCAAAGAACGATTTTGAAAATTAAGTAACCCGTAACGTTGACGAATTCAAACCTGATTCCTTTGATAGGAATCAAAGGAAAAGCTACGAATCTAGGCATTGTAATGGATAAAAATCTATCTTTTAACGACCATATCAATGAAACATGCAAAAAAGCCATTTTTGCTATAAGATCCWTTGGACGCATCCCTCGATACCTTCCCAATGATGCGTTGAAGATGCTAGTCAACTCCCTTGTAATTTCTAGACTAGACTATTGTAATAGCATTCTATATGGGATACCAAAGTATCAAAGGGACAAACTACAGAGGATCCAGAATATCGCCGCTCGTATGATAACCGGAACACGAAACACTGACCATATCACACCTATTTTAAAGAATCTACATTGGCTGCCAATCGAAGCAAGAGTTAATTTTAAGATATGACTTATAACTTATAAGATCTTAAATGAGCAATCTACTAGTTATTTAGAACCTATTATACAAGAATACCACCCATCAAGAACACTGAGATCATCAACTCGCTTACAGTTATGCAGCCCACCTATTAAATCCAATTCCTATGGTGGACGCGCTTTTTCAGTATCTGCACCGAAACTATGGAACTCAATTCCCGAATATATTAAAAGAGCGGAAACAGTAGAAACATTCATAACTAGGCTTAAGACATTTTTGTTTAAAAAACATTACTGTTAATTAATTACTTATTCTTATGTCTTAATAATCTGTTGTTAGGCGCATTGAGATTAGAAATGCGCCCTATAAGCATCTATTTATTATTATTATTATTATTCAAGTTAGGGGAACAAATCGTTGTAAAAATAAGGCTCTTATAATAAAGGTGTACGATATCCTATTAGATGTCTTAGAAATCTAAACGACTGTCGATCGTTTCAAAAACCATACTAAAGTTCATGTAAAGCATAATAATACGCTCACACATAACCATCTTTTGACACTGTCTGTTTACAGCTAAAAAAAGGAAAAAGGGTCAGGAGACGAGAAGGCATTCGTGCTGCGCTGAGCGTTCAATACGTCAACGGGATGAAGGATGAGTAACAAGTCAGTCTCTGTTTATCGAATTTTTGTCGTCTTTGTCTAGTAGGAAACCTTGGCTCTCTGCAGCAAGATCAAAAGAAACACAACCAAAGCAACCTTAAACATTTGGCGAGTGAGATTTCAGAGTTCAAAAACATTTCAAAAACACGTTAAAAAGCGTCAGCCTATCGAGAAACTCGGAACAATTCTTCAAGATTCATTTCATTTCTTAATTTTCCGACTGGAGTGAAAACACCACTTAGCTTAGAATGTTAAAAATGTAAAAAAAAAAAAAAAAGAAAGAAAAGAAAGGCAGAGCTCTCGCACTCGATGATTTATGTCTGATAACTCGTATGATATTCGTCCTCGCAGCTAGTTGTTTTCTCAAAGAGGAATGTGCTCGTGTTTTAAATCATATAACAAATGATGATACGTCTGACGGAAACAGATGAAAGTTTGGGAGCAACAAGTATTCCTTAAGCAACAGAGCAAAATGACAGTAGGTAAAATCTTCAAGCTTTAACACTGGAGATTATCTACTAACTAGAAATTTCATAGCTAAATTTCATTAAAAAAATAATCAATGGGCAACTTACCAGACCTAACTGACCCTGAAGAATATGAAAGCACAGGAACAATGGAAACCAAACTTAGAAGGGGGAGAAGAACCTTCATGATTGTGAAGCGTATAAATGGCAACCTTCCAATGCACGCAAGGCAATTGAGATCTATTTTCTCTAACATGCAAAGTAAACAAATACCGAATTGATGACCTCAGTTCATGATCGGCAGGGCGGAAAATCAAGCTGTTTGAGGAGGATTGAATGACGACATTTGTTTCCACGAATGATCAGGAATGTCTGAGAATTTCGGCAGGGGGTATTTTGGTATTACCTTTGCACGTAACAGAGATTGGGTTTCAAGGTACTTAGCTCCGAAATATTTAGTTTTTGGTATCGCTTTACTTAGAAGAGGTTTCTGTAAAGGTTATGAGAAAAAGTACGTATACATACTTCCCTATCCCCCTCTCAACTCCCTTTTCCATCGCCTTTAACCCAAAAACAAAACAGAAAGCGATTCGCTTTTCTGGCAAGTTGAAGGAGACGGTTAAAAAAAAACAAAAAACAAGAAAAAAACTAGCTATTACTTACACGTATAGAAAGTTCCCCTCCGGACTGATGAAACACACCTAAAACTACACATTTTTCTTCTTTTTCAATAGTTTCTAACTGATTGCCAGGTTTTTTCCGATACGCAAAATTGTCACGGAGTTTCAGTTAAGAACCATCCATGTTTCGCAAATAGGTCCTCATATCGAAGGCAACGGTAACATGGAAGGCATCAATACCCTGGCACTGGTGACTAGTGACCAGTCTTCTTGCTATCACAACATCCAGCATGGCGTCCTGCGAAGCAACTGATAATTCGAATTTTGATCACTTGAACGAGGATATTAGGCGTTTGCTTGCTTATTTAGAAGCTAAGAAGGAATTAATGGACGCCCATATGGTTGAATACTTCACTTCAAATCACTGGGAATCCCTTTTATCACCTCAACTTAGAGAAGATCTCGAATCACTTACACACGAGCAACTTATTCATCTACCCACTGTGGCTTATGATAACACTTCCGAAGAATATAGAACACTCGGTGAACACCTGAAAACTTTTCTCGAAAAAGCAAGGCAGGCTCAACTCAAGAGTTTTACATGGGTGAAAGATCAAAAGGAGTTTACAAGCGAAAACAAAGTGAATTTTATTTCCCACATCATGACACCAAAAAAATCGTACGAGGTGGATGTGATGTCAGATGTGGTTGGTAGATTAGCAAAGCGATTCCAAGTCAATAAGGTGAATTAAAATCTTGCTGCGTAGCAGATTATTTCTACGCTTTCATCGGTTATCGATTCAAGTATCTTCCATCATAGCTCGTAAGATCCAATTTTGTGGCCTTAATGTAAACTTGCTCTTATTTTTCTCTGTATTTTGGTTGATACAGTACTGAAAGGAGGGTTGAGAAATAACTGTAAAATATTAATATATATATATATACATGTAGAATACATTTTTCCCCCAGATTTTGGATCTTGGAAGTGGTAAAGGCTACCTGAGTCAGTGCTTAGCATTGCAGTATGGATTAAAGGTAGTTGGTGTTGATTCCTCTGATGGCAATACACAAAATGCAGCCAGGAGAAATGAGAGGCTTTTGAAAGTGTGGACAGGACTTGTGAAAAAGTCTAAAAGAGAGAAGGATAATTCATTGAGGAGTGGTACTATGTTAGTATTTACACACAACAGCAAGGAAAATTTTGAAGATTCATCGTCAGATGCTTGTACTTCTTGTTGTGATGGCACTTTACATCTTTGTGACCACTGTGGAAAGGATAACAATAAACAAAAATGTTTCTGCAAGTCTTCCTTGTTATCATCAACCAGTCCAGAGAAGGGATCATTTGATACTGTTCATAGATGTTTAAATACTGAGATTTCCATGACAGTGAAATCAGAACAATCATGTATGTATGCACAGAACCCAACTTCGTATGTCCCAGTTACTGGGCTTGTTGATCAGTCATTTGTTTCTAATGGGACATTAACAAGACTTTTTGATGAATTGGGAAGTCCCTCAGATGTGGAGAACATGGAATGTGATGGCATGTTTATAGTTGGTTTGCATACCTGCGGGGACTTAGCTCCAACTGCACTGAGAATATTTACAAGTCAATCCTCTGTGAAGTTGATTTGTATTGTGGGCTGTTGTTATCACCTTGTTACACAAGACCTAGAAGGTAAGACTACATGCAAATGTTTAATTCAAACAAAATTGTTATACCAACAATTTATCTAAAACTAAGACTACAAGAAAATGCTTTGTAAAACAGTACTGTATCTACAAGATCTTTCAAGCCTTTCACCAATTATTGCTGAAGATTATCCTGTTACGCAGACCATCACCCTTTTTTCGGGCAGGATGCTTCAATGGCCCTGACAGCAGATTACCTCTCTATAATTTGTCAGTTTTCCATTTATAACAGTTTGCATTAAGCTCCCATTTTATACTCCAGCTGGTTGGTTTATGTTTGGAAGTACTTAACAACCTGGCAATTTATCAAATTTCTTTCACAGTTTCCTCAGTTAACCCTGTATACTCCTAGGTGACAAGACAGCAGGTTACCACCCAACAATTTTATTACATGTACTCTGACAGTTTGCATAGGTACCTAATAGATATATTCCTGATATATTCCTAATATATTCCTGAGTTGTGTGCAGCACTGTCAGAGTAAAATGGCTTATAGTATATCTGGTGGCCTAGACAAGGGCTCCAACCCAGACCTGTCCACATGAATCCAGCATAGTACTAACCAGGAGGGCATAGCCTCCACTACCTAATTATCTGCAATATACTGTACTCTTACAAATTTTGAGTATGATGGCCCTGAAATTGCAAGCACTGTTTCTTAATATGTAGTTTTCAACTTTAAGAATGTTTTCAAATCAAATGATCATGAGTAGAAGTAAATACCTGTTACTACAAGGAGGTGGCATGGCCGAGTAGTTAGGGTGCTGGACTTGTAATCCAGTATCCTGGGTTCAAATCCTCCACCCTGCCACTCACTAGATTTGTTCTCAATTGCCCCTAGTTCAACTCCTTGGCTGCACTCTGTAAATAGCCCAGTGGTCTGCCTCCTGCCAGTGGGAATTTTGAAGCACTTAGTTTACATTGTGGCTGAAAAGCCCCTAAGGTGGAGCTTCAATTTATGTATTTATTTATTTATTTATTTATTTACATACTGTAAGTGACTTGCACAACTGTTTGACTGTGTAACTATTACAGAACACAGGAAATTATTGTCCAGCCACTGATTTGTTCCATTTTTTTGCATTTATGTGGCTTTTTCTACAGGATCCATTGATTCTGATAATGCTCTAGGTTTTCCCATGAGCCAGTTCTTAAAGCCGTTTCAACTTCAGATAAGCAGGAATGCCACAATGGTTGCACAACAGGTGACAAATTACATTTTTAGACTTGGTTTCTTGCATTCATAATTTTATTGCTATATTATAAAGAAATAATATTTGACTACTGATGTTTAAACTTAACTAAAATCCCTCCTGGAATCAAGTATTTCAATAGACCTTTGAAAATTTACTTAAGGCCTTCACAGAACATTTTACAAGTGTTCTTGAGTATTTTCAGATTTCATTAGGTTCTTCAAAGAAATCCTGGCACCATGAGGTTTGAAATCTCGCGCCTTTTATTTAGAACAATTTTGAAGGGCATCAATTTGACCTCACACTGGTAAGTTTTTTCACATACTCACAGGTACCCAATTATGACATTTGTTTACTTACATTGCAGGCTGCAGACAGAATCTCTTCAGAATCCCAGGTAAGAAAACTGTATTTTATTATTCAGTCTAAAAAATTAATTTTAAAAGAATGAAGTGGCATGACAATTCTGGATATGAACAAAGTGTTTTCCTGTAAAAACAGGAGGGTTTGTTTGAATGAGATCTCATATATCCTGTTGTGGTAATAAGCATATAAGACTACTCCAGATTATGAAGGAGTGTTTCATTGAGTTAGATGGATAATATCAATTTTCTATTTTGTTCTTTTTATAGTGTCCCCCTCTTAGTGTTCTGTATAGAGCAATTCTTCAGGTGTGTAATTATTATTATTGTTATTATTATCATTATTATTATTATTATTATTATTATTATTATTTTTGTTATTATCGATATTACTGGTAATTTTATTATGTTAAATTATTCTCTTATTATACTCCAACTGGGTGCCCTGTGTTGACACAGTCAGGGTTTTGATCATCTATAGAAACAGCAATAAGTAATGGAAAGGATGGATGTCAAAAATTTACGTTGATTTTGGAAAGAGTTGCCATTAAAATGTCAAAGGTTTGGGAAAGGGTAAGAAAGTCAATAGCATATTTACTTGCTGTAAGGCAATTAACCCTTAGACAGGTAAGTGATTAACATTTTCCTTCTCCTTACAACATCATCCGTGGATCAAACATAAAGATCATGGGAATAAAAGAAATGAAAGGAGAAAGAAGCTCTTGATTGTTAAACAGTCCGCTCTTTTGATCATATCTGCATGGAAAAGGCGTGTTATAAATTTGAAATTATTATTATATTTTTACAAATTTTCCTTGTCATTACTACCTTTAGGTTTGGAAATGTATTGAGAATGGTAAAGATAATGTACTGATGTTAGGGTGAAAAGGGTTACTTTGTTCTTGTTTTCTTAATAAATAATTGTACCAAGATTCAACTTGCCTTTTTTGCTGTGAAAACTCTTTTCTGATAATTTTGGTTAAAAACAAGGGTGTGCATTATACATGGACCCATACATAATATACATGGGTATTTAATAAGGTAATTAATGTTTCTGGCTATAAGAATCTAATAGTTATTTTAGGACCGACTTGAAGAAGTTGGTAGACTGTATAGTACTTTGAGAAGTCTGTTTTAACATGCAGAGCCACCAGTCAAGTTAACTCACATGAAGTTAATTTTAATTATTTTACAATAGGTCATTTTGAAAGAAAAGTTTGGTTTGGATGGAAGGTTGGTGAATATACTAGTACAATTATCTTTTTTTAATTTTTATGTATTCATGCAAACACAGTCATGTTACTAAATTATCACAGGAGTGAATTTATGATGGGAAAAAATGTAGTAATACTCTAGTGAGTATTACATTTAGCTTCATTACAATGGTAAAAATTGATTTAGAAATAACGGTAACCATCATGCAAGTTGGGTTTATCAAATGTTTTAGGTTCGGCTTACACTGTGACAATGGGTAGGTTCTCCTTGACAATTAATTTTTTCTTGGAATAACACTGTACTAACATGTATTTATCTAATTGTCAAGGAAAGGACAATTTTCTTAGAGGAATGCCCAATTTGTAACTTCAATTACTTTTCAAACAATTATAGTGGAATGCGTGTTGGCAAAGCTGGTGCAAAATGTAAGGATTTCAAGGAGTATGTTGATAAATGCCTTAATAAGCTGGGATTGAAAGAAAGAATGAGTGAGGTTTGTATTGTTATCAAGTCTGTGATGTAGAGGCTTTTTGGTTTGGGGTTTTAAAACCAAAACCAAAGAGATCAGAGGCCAACCAAGGGGATGGAAGACATTGCCAAAGCTGATTTGTAGAAACAGACTTTATCTCTGTTTCCTTCGTATTTTTTGGCTCTTTCTTTCTATTTCCTTTCCCATTCATCTATTCCATTCTCTTTAATTTTTTTAAAGTTAACAATTGAAGGAGTTCTGATGGTTTCTCTCAGATGATAGGTTTGCATCTTTCTTCTACTTTCGTTTGCAGTCAATCAAACAGCATGGGCATTTTTTTTATAATTTACAGTTGTCTGAAGAAGAAGTGAACTCCTACCTCACAAGATTTAAACACCATGAGAGGCATTTGCATGCCTTCCATCAGGTGAGGAGTCACATATTATTTTCAGAATCTTTACATTCGTGTGAAATGGGTGGGGAGCAGACTATGCACGGGTGTTACATTGAAAATGACACGCCCAACTCAAGAGGCTATCAACGTTAGCCTTCAACGATTCACTCTCCCACGTTCGTTGAATGGAAGTCTTAAAAGAGGGAAAGATGTTTTTTTTTAATGAGTCCTAGCGCTTCTCCACAGAGATTTACCAAATTTAAACAGTGTGTTACTTATAATCATTTCTCCAGTTTTTCCTTGTCCGTAGTCTCCCTCGCAGCCGTTTTTTAGTCTCGTTACGCAACCTCCCCACAAACGGCTGCTCACACTCGAACAACATTCCTTTCCGCTACTTCAACCAATCACCATTCGGGTTACATATGTCGAGAACTCCGCGCGCCAAAGTAATCTAACCAATCATATTGTTTGTTTCATCTTGGAGTTCAAAGCTTTCACACGGGGGTCTTACTGTCAGTTGACTAGGGAAAGCTTGTAGCACAAGTCCGTATGGATGACTTCAAATAGGAGACACACCAATAGAACCACTAGGAAATCTTACCGGAGTATAACATACCTGTTGGCTGATCGCGGTAGAAATACTAGAATTGGCAGTAGCATTAGAAGTACAAGTGGTATTGATC